GCCGATTTTCCATCCACGGCATAGTCGTTGTCCTCCCCCCTCGCTTCCCTTCTCTCGAAGCCCTCGTAATCCGAGGATCTCGCGAGACAAGCATCCGAGCAAGGTGTAAAAGGGAAACTGTTGGAACGCGAAGAAGCTCCCGCACAAAGCCGTGACCCCGTTTAGTAATTACTAATCCCCTGGCTGCGCCATCCTTTCGCCAGCAGCTACACCTCCTTTAATCATTCCCCCCCCCCCCCACCTCCTAAATTTATCTAATCCGCGCGAAACCTGCGGAGCTTCCCATCTTCTCGCGCGAGAAAGAGCGCGTTCGTCGCGGTTCGAAGGAAGTTGATCCTTCATGGAAGCATCATCGGTCGAAACTTCGAAACGGCCGGTTATTAATGCTCGCGGCTGGCTGTTAATTGGCGTCGTAGTAATTCGACTCCTTTCGGGTGCGTTGAACATCGAATTAATGAATTTACCGGCCCCCATGCGCTCCATCTCCAGCTATTTACAACGCGTTACGTTTCGATAAATTAACGAGGAGGGAGGATAGGACGATTCGAATCGATATACACGCACAGGTTTCCAATTCGATTGACCGATTTTCGCGTGGTACACGATTTTCCGATGTGGCGACGCGGTGAAACTGGATTTGCTTGCTCCGCGTCCGCTTCCCTCTATCCATCGTTTTTCCATTACTTTTTTAACTTAATTGTTGCACCGGTCCGCGACAGGTATCCGGCGTCAGCTGTTTGACTCCCGTCCTCTGCGCAAAGTAAATTATCCCGGCCTTTATTCCATCGGGTACACAATCGAATCTCTGTTTAGCGCAATCTCGCTTTTTGAAGTCGCTTTTCGTCCATCTTTATCCGCCCACTTCGCTTTTATTAAATCCCTCCCGACCCGGGGAGACCGCTTTTGCCCTCGCTCCACGCACCCCGTCTCGCTTCTCCCCGGACGATTCGTTCGCGGGGCGATAACGTCACTTGGCGTTTCCGGTTTGATTAGCCTCCTCCGAATCTCCTTCTCTCCTTCCTTCCAACGATCTCGAGCAACAACGAAAAATACTCGGACAAGTTCGAGAACAGTTTGAACAAGGATTTTTGGAAAAAATTAAAAGGATAGAAAGATTAGAAACATTCTCGAACGCATTTCGTGGACGGTGGAAAGATGAAATTCGATTTAGCGGAGATCCCGAGGCGGGGCCGAAACACGCGTATAAATCGAGAGAGAGAGAGAGAGAGTGGTCAGCCCTGTGGCGCATCCTCCCGCTGTGTGTGCCACCACCGTGTATTAATTTTCAGGCGAGTGCACGCGAAGGCGCGCGGATGTTAGTTTAACCGGAATATTTCAGCCGGACGTGCACCGTGCCAAGCCACTTCCGGCCACGGCCGACGTTACACGCCGTATTTTCGTCTGTGCGCCGCTTCGTATACTCGATTAACGTTCAACGAACAAAGCTCGGAGCCGTTAATCGTCCAGGTTAATAACGTCGTGCCACCTCGATTACCCTACGATGACGAGCGATTCCCAGGCGAACTTTGTCCCCGTAACAATGGATTTCGTTCGAGGGTGGGCGACGATCGAATCTCGAGTGGAAATGCTCGCCGTTTATCGCCCTCCAATTCGGTGTATTTATTCGAAAGGGTTGACGAAGGAATTCGAAATGTCGTTTATTATTTTTCGCCAGTTGCGTTTATTCGAGAGAGGGATGCTCGAGTCGAAAGCTGGCGCGAGCCACTCCCGTTTTCAACATTCTTCTCTTTTTTTTTTTTTATAGACAAGACTCTCTTCCGTTTACGCGAGTTTAAAAGTGTACTTAAGTAGTCGATGCACTTAAAACGTTCCGTTACGCGTCCGCTTTTCGGAGCGTTTCAATTTCCCCTGATTTTATCCCACCTTGAGAACCCCTCCTCCTATTCCATTCCAGGCGAAAGATCACGAGAGAGAGGCGAGTAATTAATCTCGAGACTAATTCCGCCATCCAGTATCACTTCTTCCCCAATTACTTTCGACCCGAACGGAAAAAAGGAAAAGAAGAAGAAGAAGAAAGGCGACGAAGACGTTGTTATCGGTACAAATTCGAATCGAAGAATAACCGATCTTATTCCACCTCCCTCGATTCGAAAAAACGAGAGAGAATAATCCGGAAGTGCGATAAGACCGGTTCATTAATCAGGAAACATTCTCGCGCTGCCGGCTGACGTCCGCTTAATCGTCCGCGTTGTTAACGACCAAGGATCGGAGGGGGTGTCGCGCTGTTCATCGACATTCCCGTCGCGTTTCGCGAGGCAAAAGTTGCTTTCAACGCAGCTAAACCCCCGAATGCGGGAACAGGGTGAAAGGGCCGCCAGGTGGAAAAGGGGAGGGAACGTTGATTGATCGAGACGCGGAGGAAGGACGATTTTTCCGCCTCGGTTTTTGCCCATCACGTTATTCTTTCACGCCTCTCCTCGCCTCTTCCCTTTAGTAGTTGAGGGACGAAAAAAAATCCGTGTACAACTTTTGAATATTGCACTTTCGAATTCGATGCTGTTCGACCCGAAGAAATAAAACTGTCGTTGTGGAAACCGTGTTATCGTTTACGTTACGAGCGAACGAATCGTGCCTCGTTTTAACCGGTTAAATCTTATCAGTGTTCCATTCCAACTGCCCTTATCTGTCCCCGCCCTTTCATTCCCCCGTCATTATTTTTCGTGAAAATGCAGACCGAGAGAGGGACCAATCGTCGCCGGATGACGAGTCGTTATATCTCTAAGTTTAAATTTGAAAATCGTACGTAAATAACTGTTAGACTTATAATACTCGAGAATATACTCGAGAGGATAAAATCCACTCGTCTCGTTCGTTTCGAACATATTTTTGGGATTTAGGAAACGAAGGGATTGTGGCTGGTTACGAATTCCAATTTCTTTCTGGAAGAGGAGAAGTTTTCCGCCCCTTTTCGAGAAAAATTCGTGGGGACGATCCATCTCGCGATCATCGTCGAAAGGCGTCCGTTCGTTGCACCTCGGCTGCCTCGTTTCGGGTGTAAATTATGTAGAAGGGTCGGTTTGCGTTTCGCGCAAACCTGGAAGCTGTGTGAACGTTGCAACGTTGGCCGTTTTTCACCGTCCCCTTGGAGAATAAATCAGGTGGGGTCAGAAGGGGAAGTGGCACTTGACCTTCCGCTTGGTTTGCGACGACCTTGCCGCCTCTCGAATCACGCGGAATATTTGATCAAGGCGCGCCTCCCCCACTTGTCTTCTTCCATTCGAAATCCCGGGGAGAATTCGTTCCTTCTCGTTGAAACGAAATTAGAAAGGATTTTCCCTTTTTTCTTCTTCAACTGGCTTTCGTTCCATATATTTCGTTCCCGATTCCAATATCGCTCTGCCCGCCGCGACATTATTTCATTAAGCTTCGGAGCTTTAATGACCTCTCTTAATTACTTATCGATCGTGCAATGGGATCAGTCATTACGACCCCTCCCCTCTCTCTCAACATAGCCGCGGCATCGTTTCAACGATCGGGCCAATCGCTGGTTCCGTTATTTCCAGTTATTTCTCCTATCTTGAACGGATGATTAAAAAACGGAGATTTTCTCTTTTTTATTCCAACTCGTACCAGCTCGAATTTTCAAAGCTCGATACATGAAAAGGGGATATCCCACACTTAGCTTCGACTAACCAATTAGTTTTACCCAAACTTGGGGAAACGTTTCATCTTTTCCGGTTAAAACAGCCGGCTTCCAGGCTTTCGTCCATTGTTCAAGGACGAAATATCCCTCCCCGTCGCGTGGCGGGGCCTCTCTGTCTTGGCAACCGTGTCTTCGAGAACAAGGCCATTAGCGACAGTCCTTTTCACCGAGTCCGCGTCCCTGCTGTTTCGCGCCGCCTTTGTATCCCTCGGCCACCTTTTCTTCCCGCCCTAATAAATGTCCCGCCTGACTCTTATTGCTCTCGAGGGAGGAGGGGAGGGGGGGAGAAGGAACGCGGCGAACGAGGAGGAATGTCAATAAGGAACGAAAACCGGGCCGATAGACAAACGGGAACGTCGAAGTTGGTGAAAAATAGAAGTTGGGGAATATAGTTTGGAATAATCGTCAGGAGAAATTTCTGTCTTTCGGATCGACCGAGAAGGAGAGAATATTGTTCGAATCGATAGCAAAGCAGTTGGGTTTGTTTTTTTTTGAAAAGGGGGATAATGCTGTTCCAGCAATTTTTATCGGAGAGAGATTCGCAAAGAATAACCCCCCTAAAGGGATATCAATTATTCGCGCGTGACGAATCGATACGTGACGAGAGGGAGAAAAAAGGGAGGGACGATTTAATCCTCGTAAGCAAAGAGGAAGGCGTGTCGATCGGGAAAGAATCGTAGAGGAAATAAAAGGGAGACGCGTCCCTGTCTTACTTAAATTGTCTTACCTCTCGACGAGCTAAAAATCAAAATGACAAAATTTAAGGAGGTGAAGGAAGAGCGATCTTTTTTCATTTCGATGGAAAGCAACTCTTCTTCTGCCCGAGTTTCGTGACTACTCGCAAAGAAAAAAAAGGAAAAAAAATCGATGACGAACCGAAGATGAATCTAGGAACGAAGGGTGGAACGAAGGTCGAGGAAATATTAATACGAGGAGGAAATAGAAGGAGAGGAGAAAGAAAGAATGGAAGGAAAGCGAAATGGCACGCCAAGTGGCCGGGGAGAGCGAAGCGGGTAAACGAAGCGGTCGGCTCGACGAGTTCCGCTTTAAAGATAACGAAGCGAGTTCTTCGCGGAATAAAGGTAGCGGTAACCGCGCCGCGGCACCTGTCGAGTGTTTGTCGAGACTGTCTCCGTTAGGGAGCGACAGGTGGCTTCGTTCTCTTCCTTTCCCTCTTCTCCTTCCCAGCTTGACCCCCCACGACACCGCGAGTCTACCTTTCTCAGCCCGGTATTACCCTCATCCGTCTTTTTCACCCTCCCGCCCTAGGCTTCTTCCCACCGCTCCGGGGGTGTGATTTAAAGTGTAAACTTAAATATTCCAGTCGGCGTCTTCGTCGTCGTCGTCGTCGTCGTCGTGCAAATAGATTCGATATTAATGGAGCTTCCACACCAGCCAGGGGGTGAGAAAATTCGCCCGCTTTTACCGTCCTTCTTCTTCTTCTACAATTGGAGAGGAGAGGAAAGGGTGGGTGGAGGGAAGCAAAGAACGACGCTTAGAGATTAGAGAAAAATAAAGGAAGCTTTATTCTTTACATACGATATATAGCAGGCGATACGGGTCGAGGGGCGCGTCGAGGTCCCCCCGGGGGATGACGGGTGGTTTTGCCCCGCGGGGGCGTCGGCGCGCCCGTCGACGGATACAAACGAATATCGGGAGGAAGATCGGGTGGGTGGGTGGGGAGATACCGTGGTGTTCGTCTCGTGGGGTGGTCGCGTGGTGGGGCGGCGTCGGGGTGGTCACGCGAGGATCGCCGCCAATTTGTGCAGGTTCATGATGGTGGTCGCGTCGCCCGGCTGCAGCCTCAACGCCTCGCTGTACGCCGCAGCCGCCTGCTTGTATTTCCCGTTCAGGTGGAGGATCGCGCCCAGGTTCGTGTGGCTCCTCGCCTCGTGCGGCCTCAGCCTCGCCGCGTGCCTGTACCACACCTCCGCGTCCTCCAGCCGCCCCGCTTGCCGAAGCGCGGACGCGGCGGCCATCGACAGCTCGTAATCCGATCTGGAAAGCTCCGCGGCGCGGAGCTGCTCCTCGGCGGCCTCCGACAGTCGGCCCTGGGACGTCAGGAACAGTCCTGCGAAGTCACCAATCTCGAATCAGAAATTCGAAACTGCTACGCTCTCTTTCGATATTATTCGAAGACGATTAAAAAAAGGAAGGGCGCGAAGGGGGACGTGAAAGGAAGCACCAAGATTTCGTGGAGGGTATAAATTTTCCTCCGCGCCTAATGACGCGTGCCCAGCTAAGAGAGATGAACCGCGGTTGCGAATTTTTTTGCGCTTGAAAAATCTCCAAACGCGAGATTCTCCGTAGCGTGGAGCAGATTAATCCTGACCGCGAGGAATCGGGTCTCGACCGATTGGCCGTTGGCCGCCATCCGCCTCTCCGCGGAGACGGATATTCGAAAGAAAGAAATGGTGAAAAAGCGGGGTGGTTGGTCTTCTTGCCAAACCGAGATCGGGTTTGAGAAATGCGGTGAAACGGAGAGGGGAAGGAGGGGGGGGTGGTGGTAAGCGCGAGCGGGAGGGTGGGGGAGGGATGAAACGACACGAGTCGACACTGCGACGAGCAGCAGGAATCGCGAGGAATTCCTTTTCCGGAATTTCAATACCCGTTGATCTTCTTTCCGGCTCCCTCCTCCACATCCGCATTTTTCCCTCGTCTTCCCTTTTTTTTTTTTTCGATCAGCTTCCACTCCCGAGAAAAATGTTACACCGGTATTTAGAGCTCTTCTCCTCCATTCGTGAGAAGAAGATGAGAAGAAGCTCGTTCGAGGAAAAACAAACAAAATTAATATGTACACTTCGATTTTCTTTTGCCTCGATAAATCAACAAGCCTCCCCTCCCCTCCGAATCGAAACCGTTTTCCAAGGAAATGTTACAACAGGGGACGCGAAAATTTCGTTTCGTTTCGTTATCCAATTCACGATCCCGATCGATGAAAACTTGCGATTATACGTACCGTAATGATGGTGCACGCTCGAGTCGTCCGGCGCCAATCTACGGGCTCTCAGGAACCATCTCTCGGCCTCCAGCACGCGGCTCGACTGTGGAAAGAACGAGAAGAAAGGAGGATCAGTGATCGAAGCGTTGGATCCGGACGGGGGGGGGGGGGAGAGCGGTGTACCGGGCGTAACGAAATTTATCCCGATGCGATTAGGGGCAACGAGAAACAGAGGATTCCGTTTCGCTTGGCGCACAGAATAGGAGGAGGAGGAGGAGGAGATCGCGTGAAAGATGGAAATGGAATTTCGATACGGTTCGGGTGGCACGGGAACCGATGAAAATTCACCGGCGGCGCCGCGATACAAAGTCGACATTTATCGGTCAAACGTGCAATTACATCGTTTACTCGCCTATTGATTTTACATCGACCCCAGTGGCGTGCATCGTAATTCGCAAACTTTTTTTCGCAAACTGAATTCCGGAATGTTCCACGAATGTTTGCGGGAATCTCGAGCAATTTTCGCCTTTGCGGAAATTTTCGTTTCGTTTGTCAGCGTTATCGATAGAAAAGTAATATAAAGCCTCAGAAATAGCCTTATATTATATATTGGAGATTTAGGATCAAATGTGATAATACATCATCGGCTTCGTTGGCGTTGATGCGTTAAAGGATTAAATGGAAAAGGAAAAAAAAAAAAAAAAATAGAAATGGAGCTTCATCACCCTGTAAATCTATTTCATTTACGCGCAATCAATTTAAAGTTATTTCACGGGGACGGTAGGTAGAGGGCTAATGGAAAATTGGCAATTCGGTAATATTATCATGGCAAGCAATCAACTATATTACACATTACCGTTAATGCGTCCCCCCGGAGAAGGATGGTATTAATCGATTATTCGATGTAATCGCGCCGAAAGACGAGAAATTCGATCAAAGACGGACGAACGATCGATCGAGCGCGATATCGCCGTATCAATTGATCATCGAAGCGCGATATGCAAAAGTGAAAGCCCCGCTCGGAGAGGAGGGAGTGGCGCGTTTCGATTATCTCTCTCTCTCTCTCTCTCTCTCTCTCTCGGCTCGGTGATCGTGTTAGTTTTCAGGAGAAATACCGGTTTCCGGTCAACGATCGAAGGAACACGGAATCCGGCCAGTGGATCGAGCAGAATCAGCTTAACCGCGCGTTGTTCCCTTTGCCGGGGTTCCCACTTTTAATGGGTCAGAGAGCGTGTGCCGGCCTACGCTCGGCCGATACGTGGCGCCACCGCCACACGCTTCTCGAGAAATAGTACTAACTACTTACGTGCCGAGTCGAAGGTTTGCTAAGTGATGTGGGTCGCTACGTGGTCAGACTCGGCGAACGAGAACCCTGCAATCCCGGTTCCCTCGTTTTATATATCGTTTCATACCATTCGAACCGGGCAACTTTCGTTACCATTTATCTTTTCCCTCTCTCTCTCTCTCTCTCTGATTTTTCGCTCTAACGGCGATTGGATATTTATCACGTTTTTTAAAAGATGGGGGGTGGGGAGGGGGAGGAGGGAGGGGAAAAAAGTAACAGTTACTTTGCAACCGAGCGTGGAAACGACTCGAGAAGATGGGATCGAGTTTCTTCGACTCGATCAGCGATGACGATCGAAAAGTTTCTCCCCACCATCGTTTTTCCATCGAATCCTTGGAGGAGGGGAAGGAGGGGAGAGGATGCGATCGTGTCCGAAATTTCCGCGTTGAACGATATTCGGCCGGGCCGCGGTTAACTTGGGAAACTGGATCCGCGCTCCGATGAAAGAGAACCGATCTAAAACTGGCAACTACTTACGTTTCGGGCCAAAAGTTTCCCGTAAGTGATGTGGGCCGGCACGTGGTCAGGCTGGCTGGCCAAACTCGCCTGGAACCACCTTTCCGCCTCCGCGTACTGTTGCAGCCTCGACAGAGTTTCCCCCAGCAGATTGTAAACGCTCTGTAAAACAGGGTCGATCAGGGTCAGACGAGGCTCCTACTCTACAATCCTCCTCCTCGTCGCATCCCTATCATTCGAAATCATATATTATACGAAAGATCGAACTTTCAACGATCCAGAATAATCGTCACGGTGAATAATTCTCGCGCGAAATTCAAAATTCCCAAGCGTGTGCTGAAAAAGGGGAACTCTAGAAAAAAAGAAAGAGAACCAATGGCGCGCTTAACGAACGGCGTCGAAGGCGCGATTAATATCGGGGCCGGGTGCGATAAATCCGCGAGGTAATTGGTTCGAGAGGCAGAGAGAGTGAGAGAGAGAGAGAGAGAGGGGGGGATGGATGGAATCAGTTTCGAGAAGTTTTCTGATTTTCAGGACCGACGGCTGCTGCTAATGGCCGACGGAGGACCGACCGGCGCACACACACCTACTCGCGCGTGTGAAACACGTCGTCCTCCACACTCGTAGCAAAGAACACGTAGCTTGGAGGGGGTGGAGGGACACGTATAGACGAGAACAAGATGGGAACACAAACGACTGGAAGCGTTACGGAACGACTAACACCGAAAAGCTTCTTCCTGAGCTCCCGAGTCACCGAGTTGTAGGCTAAAACTTTTATGATTTCGTTCGTGTCGGGTCGGTGCGCGCGCGGCCTCGAATAAGTGAAGGGAGAGAGAGAGAGAGAGAGAGAGAGAGAGAGAGAGAGAGAGAGAGAGAGAGAGAGAGAGAGAGAGAGAGAGAGAGAGAGAGAGAGAGAGAGAGAGAGAGA